AATGGCTATAAACCCTAATTTGCAATTCAACTATTATAGCAATTCAATTTAAAACAACAATGGCTCTGATACCACTGATGGGTTTTAGGTAAAACAAATAAACTAGAAAAACAATTCCTAAGTTCACATGCAACCTACTTTGGATCTATGTTTTATCTATTGAACATACAACTTTGAATTGCAAAACAAGAACCCTAGAGGAGAGAGGCTATAATCGAAATTTACAACCTAGGGTTTAGTAATTACATACCTTTCAATTGTTATAGTAAACAATTGATAATTCCCTTGATCTTGATCTTGATCTTCTTGGAAGCTTAGCACCACAAGTGTAATGCCTCTAATGGAATCACACCCAAACTAGCAAGAAGGAAAGTAGAAGGAGAGAGAGGGAGTATGCAATTTTCGGCCCTAAGGGTTTCTTCCAAAGAAAGAGTGACCAAAATGTGAACCGGGAGGCTCCTTATATAGTTGAGGGATCTAGGGTTTAGGAAAAACCCTAATGCTCCTTGCTTAGGGCCTAAGCAAAGCCAAAGGCCTTATCCAAGCCCCCTTGGACGAAATCCTTAGGGTTTCCCCTATAGATTTCGTCCACCTCCTTCCAAGGAGGTTCTGGAGCCTTCCACTCAACTATTAGATAATTGCAAACTAGTCCCTGCACTTTATAATTAATTCTTTTAACCCCAAAATTAATTCTAATTAATTTCTGGCTAACAATCAATTAAACAAAATGATTTCTTATTAATATATTAATCTTTTAACATATTAATAAATTCATTTATATTAATTTATTAATCTTATAATAAATTAATATCTCTCCTTTCATAATTTCCTTGTCCGGTTGCTAGGTTTGAGGGCAACCCAAAAGGACTGTGCTGCTATCAATTCAAGTACATACCAATTATAGTTATGGGCTTAGACACCTAATCCAACAAGTATAACTTACAGATATTCAAAATGAGAAGGTCGGATACTCTCATACACAGAGTGTACTCTCGATTTCGTCTTATTTTCAAGAAAAAGAAACTGGAAATCGAAAATAAGAAGAGCAAGAATCGAGATTCACATTTAAATTCACTTGTGTTGTTTCAGTAAAATAAACTGAAAATCGAAAAGAAGAAGGGCAAGAATCGGTTTCAGTTTTCTGGAATCGTGAGAAAGAGAAACAATCAGGCTTGATTCACTGGCTGTTGTTCCTAAGGAACGGCGGTTGTTATGGAGAAACTCAGAAAATCCGAAATATAAGAAAATCAAATGGAGAAGAAACACTTGAAATATGGAATAAGAAATTAGAAATGGAAGAAATTGATTACCGTTGTTTCTTGAATGAGGAGAAACGTCGTTTGGATCTTCCATAGAAATCTGAAGAGTTATTGCGCATTGGAAGTAGGAAGCAACCGCACGCCTCGTCAGTATCACTTTCTCTCGCTTTCTTTTTGGATCGGCTATAATAAGAGTATTGGGCTTTAAGAACAGGTCCAACGTACTTAAAACTATTGGGATATTACCATATAAACACTAGAACAAATAAAAAATGGGGCCCTATGGCATTTGGGGAACCTGGGCGGTCGCCCAGCTTGCCCAAGCCCATGGGCCGGCCCTGGAAGTAGGGATGAAATAGTCCTCGGTACCGGTCGATAGGACCGAAGGGGTAGGCCAGCACCCTGATATGCTAGGCAAGGTATTGGTCGATAGGACTAAAGGGGTAGGCTAACACCCTGATATGTTAGGCAAGATATCGGTCAAAAGGGTCGAAGGGGTAGTCCAGTACCCTCATATGCTAGGCAAGTTACTAGTTGAAAGAGACAGAATGGGTAGTTAGTACCCGGATAAGTTAGACAATATGTTTATTGTATGGTATGTGGTATGATGGGGAAACTCACTAAGCTTTGTGCTTGCGGTTTTCAGTTTTGTTTCAAGTACTTCATTTTCAAAGGAAAGGAGTCGGCTATTGCAGCACATCACACTATGTTTTCCGTACATGAGATCTTTGGGATCACACTCTGATATTGTTTCATGATAACATGTTTTGATGTAACATCCCAATTTTCAAGACCAAAAATTTTGTTTTTAATCATATTACTTATAAAACAGTTACTGAAAAACATCGTCATCATCATTCCAATTCATAAAACCATAATCACTTGTCCCAAAAACTATATCATCAAAATAGTAATAATATCAAAGTACAATCCCATATATCTCAAAATCCGTAATCATATGTGTGTGATGCGCTGCTACCGTGTCGGCTCCTTCCCCTTCGACGAAGAGGTACCTGAAACCAAAACTAAAAACCGTATGCACAAAGCTTAGTGAGTTCCCCCATCATACCACATATCATACATAACACATATTGCCATGCATATATAAGTGCCCAACCTACCCTGTTGAGCATACCGGGGTGCTCAACTTACCCCTACTAGGCATACCGGGGTGCCTAACCTACCCTTGCTAGGCATACCGGGGTAATCTTAGTGTAACACCCCCCTCTGGCACGTATCACAATATTGTCCGCTTTGGGCCACTCGGCACGAGGACTTCCCAGGGGGTCACCCATCCCGGTGCTACTCCCGCCCGAGCACGCTTAACTGCAGAGTTCTTATGGGATCTGCTGCCCTCACGGCTTTAAAACGCGTTGCGATAGGGAAGGTATCCACACCCTTTATAAGGAATGCTTAGTTCTCCTTCCCAGCCGATGTGGGATCAGATCTAACCCACCTTCACCCCCTATTATAGGGTTCGACGTCCCTGTCGAACACATCGACCCGTGCCCTAGCTCTGATACCATTTGTAACACCCCCCTCTGGCACGTATCACAATATTGTCCGCTTTGGGCCACTCGGCACGAGGACTTCCCAGGGGGTCACCCATCCCGGTGCTACTCCCGCCCGAGCACGCTTAACTGCAGAGTTCTTATGGGATCTGCTGCCCTCACGGCTTTAAAACACGTTGTGATAGGGAAGGTATCCACACCCTTTATAAGGAATGCTTAGTTCTCCTTCCCAGCCGATGTGGGATCAGATCTAACCCAGTCCCCCCCTTTAAAACACCCCAAAATGTGATTTAATAATACTTCGAGATTTCGGGCTGTTACACTTAGTGATAAAAGTAACGTTCTTTTTAGGTTGCTCTCATAACCAGGAAATGACTTGGATTGAAATTAAGAGAGAGAGGGAGAGAGAGAGAGAGAGAGAGAGAGAGAGAGAAAGCGAGAGAGAAAGAGATAAAATGATTTGTTAATCTATTATATGATTAATATATTAATTTGAGTTAATTACTTATTAATTAAGAATTAATTAGAGTCAGTTGAAATTAATTAAGGGTTCCAAGGTTGAACTGTAATTGTTTAATAGTTGAGCAATGAAGACAATTATAGATCTTTCCCTTGCTATGTGGACAGTTTCAAGGAGTGCTTGGAAGGGTTATGGGAGACTCTTGAATCAGATAAGGAAATAATATGTGAATCCGATTAAAATACTATTATTTTAATATTCAAATCTAGGTTTCAGAGTTATATGGAAACTATATAAAAGGTCATACACCTTTGGAAAAATGATCCCTACCCTCATTTATAGATAAATTATAATTTTTCCTCTCCATCTATCCATATTTTTGGTCCTTCCTAGGGTTTTGAGTGTGACATGTTAGAGGCTGCCATATTATTGGAGCTAGCTTTCCACAGAGATCTACAAGAGTGTTTCTTGCATCACTCATTTGATTACATAAGGTATGATTCTAACCTCATGAATTTCGATTATTATAGATTAGATGTTGTTTCACAAAGTATGTTCATATAATTAGAGAAAATGCCATAAAGTTTTAGGTTGCATCTACCCATAAGTGTTTATGATTAAAATCTGCTGTGGAAATCTTTTTTTTTGGTTACCTAGAAACCCCATCAGAACTCACTAAGTTTTGGCTTACAGTTGTGGATAAAATGTTTTTCAGGTTGTTCCCCCTGATCTTAGGAGGCTCCAACGTGATTGTACTCGTATCAAAGAAATAATTATGTTTTGGACTTTTGCTAAACTCTTTTTTTGTTTAATGAATGTAAAACTATGATCTTTTAATGATTTTGGAGTTATTATATTTATGTTTTAAAAATGAAAATTTTGTATTGGAAATCGGGACAATACGCACACACATATATATATATATATATATAATATAATATAATATAATATAATATAAACATATACATATTTCTTTACTCATAATGAGAACATAGCTAGAATTTATTACAAATAATGATATTGTACTTATATTTCTTTACTATTAATGGTAGCATTCTTGCAATTTCTTACATATACTTGCAATGTACTTATTTGTAAGGATAAAAACAATATAAAATATATTTAAAATGTATTGCTAATAATGGTAATGTAATATAAGCATTTTGTCATAATAGATATGAATATATTGTTATTATAGGTAATTCAAGCCATTGCTATTATCAATAAAAAAACATAAGTATATTTCTACTATGCATAAAAATTATGTTATTATTAGTGTAATATAAGAGCTTTGCTATATTGGATATGAATATGTTGTTATTATAAGTAATTCAAGTCATTGCTATTATTAGTAAGGAAATATAATTATATTTCTACTATGTGTAAAAATTAAGTATATTGCTATTAAAGGTATATAAATAAATTACATTCGTCATATTGTAGCAAACATAAAACACATAGATGCATAGATGTAGAGTGTCCCAACTCCGAAAACTAACACAATTAAGGTAAATTACATCTCAAACATAAAGGATGCAATGTTTAGGTTGAATGTACAATATCTCCTGTGGATTTTTCACCATTATACCATTATGTCAAACATCAGGACAGAGCAACGAATGTATAACCAAATAATATCTTAAAATGTGATTTATTATAATTCATTAAATAAATATTATTATTTCATATTTTAGTAACTTTTAAAATTCTAGTTCAAATATTCCTTCTACATTATGATTACTTCACACGAATAGTAACTTCTAAAACAAAATGTATCTTAGACTGTTAGGTATGGGTCAAGAATGTTATGAAGAAGTTAAGGTGACATTCTTCTACACTGGGGAACCCCAACCCCACCCCCTTCCCCCCAACCTAACACCCTGTTTAATATTGTAGAGACGATGTAAAAGAACGCCTGATTGAGGACCAAGACCTAAGAGGCCATGTGGGAACATGTCCTTCATTTAACTTATTTTTACATACATTTAAAGTGGAAATTAAAATGATTGTGATGGATATTTTCTAATAAATATAAAATGGTATCAAGATATGATATGACACACAAAATAATATACAAGTAGTCTATACGGAACAATTTATCTTTAAAAATATCATACATACTTATAAAGCTAACATTTTTTTTGAATCTCATGCATTTGAAACCCCCTTTTTTAACTTCCTTAAACCACATTCATTTGAAACCCCATTTTCTAACTAATGCAACTTAAAAGTTTTCTTAATTATGATTTAACAATCAAAAGTTTTATAACTTATATTATATTTAATTAGCATCTAGTGAAAAATTTACTATAAAAAGGCCAATCTTTTAGGAATACATGCATACAAATAATATACAATTTTCATAAAGAAAATAAACTTAAAAGTTTTTGTGTTAGGTTGAGGTCTTACGACCACTTTTGGATATATGCTATTATATTATAGTTTTTAATTTGTAAGTTTGTTATACTAATTCGTTTTTATATTTTCTTCGTTTTTGGATTATTGTAATCCAGTCGTTGTATATTGTGGTTTAATCGTTAATATATTGATCATATGTTATATAGCGTGATGTTGAAAATATTTAATTAAATATTTTAAATATTTTTTTTTTGTTTGTTTTGTAATTATACCGATGTTATACAGACTTATAATATATATTGAATATTTTAAAAGTAAAAGTAAAATTTATAAAGTATGGATTATATTAGATAGTATCAAAATATAAGTTGATAAATTTTTATGTTATTTGATAATTTGGTTAATACCCAAAACATGATTAAAAATGTAAATTTCAATATATTTCTATTTTTTCTCATAATTGTTTTAATTACTTAAATGTATTCTTGCGCAACGCGCCGGTTGCACCTAATTGTATTGTATAACCTTATAAAATACAAATGCTTGCGGAAAAAAAACCATTGTAAGAATCATTTAAAAAAAAAAAAAAAAAAAAAAAAAAAAAAAAAAAAAAAAAAAAGGTATAACCATTAACCGGTATCCACATGTCTTAGAATTTAATGAAATCAAGAACGGTTAAAGACTTTATCAAAGTAGATACAAAGTCGCGGGTTACTTTTTGTATTTTATCCATATGTCCATAAAATCAAAATACAACCAAACCACCCTCTTTGCAATTTCGAGCTCACGACTTTTTCTCTCAAGGACTCGTTCATCTCAAGTACTGCATTCCAGATTATCTACAAAAAAAACCACCGCCTAATCGACCATATCCACAACACTTGTTCAGAGGTATTCAAGATTTGTTCCACTTTCATTCATTCTTTATCGATTTCCGTTGCAATTTATGCGTTTCAATGTCCTCTCACGCTCATTTCTAGGGTTTTCTTACTCTATTGTCCCGATCTTATATGCATTTCGCACATTTGAGCAGTTTCCCTTTTTTAGATTTTTTGACTACTTCTAGACGATATAGCCGGTCCTTGCGATTGTGGGAATCTGGAAGGAATTAGAGCAGAAAGGTTAACAATTTCATGCCTTTTTAATGTCTATCAAATTTCATTAGTCATGGGGTCACCGTTGATGTGGAATTTCCCAGAAATAACCTCATCGTTCCTTCTTCATAACCCTAGATCAACAAAACCTGAATGTGACTGTAGACTTCCTAAGCTCATCTATATATATATATTTTTTGCCATCTGATAGTTTTGAATGAGCTCTTATCACGTACTGCATTTCCTGTCTATTGCTTTCTCTCACATTTGGTAGGTTTCACCCGCTAAAACTTCTTGTGTGGAGGGAAATTGAGAATATATGTTACTAATCAGGGTATGGTATTGCTTTTGCAGATGGAAGACCACCTGGTTTTGCGTGTTGATCAGCTGGAGACAAATAAATCAAAATCTGAGGACACTCCAGGATTATCTCCTGATGCTTCCTGCAGTCATGCATCTATTTCCGTTACTGACATGAAGGGGGATGAAGAATATGATACAGCTGGTGAAGATGAGCCACTTATTCAGTCAATTGAATGTCGTATCTGCCAGGAGGAGGATACCATAAAAAACCTGGAAGTTCCTTGTGCCTGTAGTGGCAGCCTTAAGGTGGGTTATTATTTTTTATTTTTTTACCCTTCTTTAATGGACAAAGATCATCTTTTTGCACGTTTTACCTATAATCTCCTGTATGTTTATTGGCAGTCTAGAACATATGAATACTAAAGCACTCATTTATTGCAGTTTGCTCATAGGAAATGTGTTCAGCGATGGTGCAATGAAAAAGGCGACACAATTTGTGAAATCTGTCACCAGGTATCTCTGCTCCCACTTCCTAATTTTTGCTGCTAGCTCTACTCTCTTCTTCTGTGCCCCAGTTCACAATATACCTCTAATACATATCTTTTACTCTTGTGGAATATGGCAAGTTTACAAATAATTAGGTTTATCTAAAAATCTTACATATGTTAAGAGTTGTTTTCAGGAAAATGTTTGCTAGTTGATGTTTTCAAGTAGTAAACACTTAAAAGTAAGCTCTTTGTTAATGCTGACTTATTGGATGATTACACTACACAGGCTTATGAACCTGGTTATACCGCACCTCCTCGGTCAGAAGACACTGTCCTTGATATCAGGCATTTAAACCTCTCGGTTAAATATTCCTCTGTTATGTCATTCTTTATGCATTAAGTGATAAAGAAAGACAAACAGTGATTCCATTAAGTCAGATTTGAAAATTTTGTTGATGTGGTATGATTTTATTTGCAGTGCAAGTTGGACAATTGGTGGTACTCCAATAGACCTGAATGATCCACGACTTTTGGCAATGGCAGCTGCTGAACGCAGTCTTCTGGATGCCGAATATGAATACGAGGACACCGGTGCCAATGGAGCTTCATTTTGTCGCTCAGCTGCTCTCATTGTGGGCCCATCTTTCTTTTTCTTTTTCTTTTTTAATTAAATGCTCTTTCATGACTTTCTCTTAACATTCTTTGAACTTTCTTTGTAGTTGATGGCTCTTCTGCTGTTGAGGCACGCTCTCACAATCGGAGACGGGGATGATGATGATGATGATGCTTCTGCCTTTTTTGCTGTAAGTGGACTTTCTTCTTTACTATGCTCTTAACATTCTTGAAAAGACGTAAATACCCCTCTCATGCATACACCGTTACTCTTACGCAAATTGACAACGATTTGTGTCCACAGCTTTTTATGCTTCGAGCAGCGGGTTTTCTTCTTCCTTGCTACATCATGGCCTGGGCCATCAGTATCTTGCAGCGTCGTAGGCAAGCACAGGTATTATTTTATAAGTTATAACCCTTCAAAAAATATTGTGAGTTCTTATCTATAAAAAAAGACTTAAATGCCCTTTTTTACATCGTTCTCAACAATGACACTAGAAAGCTTGTAGATGTATTTAAAATGGTAACAAGCCTACTTTGATTTTAATGAGCAGGAAACGGAAAGACTGACGGGACTGGCGGCAGCTGCTGACGTGGCATTCATGATGCAGGCAGGGCAACATAGAGGGTTGCAGGTCACCATTGCACCGGGACCGGGACCCGCAGTGGCACCATCACCTATGGTGACCCCGCCACCTCCTGCGGTGGGTGGGACCACCAGCCATGGGCCACTTCAATAATAGTATAAGAATACTGAGGTTGGAGTTGGGACTCATAAATATAATATGCACAGATATCTGCCTGCGGCTTTGTTGTTCTGTTGTTTTGTTATTACGCATTAAGAGGGGTTGTATCTTCTCCCCCTACCTGCAAAATATCTCTCACTAAAACCTTTATACCACCGCAATGAATTCTGTTTGTAAACTAAAATTTAATGGTCTATTTGTGCATATTCTGCGGAAATATATGGTAGCCGTTGTGGCTGGCTGCTTTTCAAATTTGTGTTGGCCCAAGAGCTCTCTTGTTGCTGATTTCTTTAACCATATTTGTGTTGTGACTTGTAATTTATTCTTGAAAATCATGACATACTGTGTGTGTGTGCTTGATGTATACAGGTATATACTAGGCATAATTTGTCGGATGCATAAAAGATCACAAGTACAGAAGATTGGTTGGTTAATAATACGGAACAATTTATTAAAGATTCAATCCCCTTTAATTCTGTTTTTGATTCTATGATTATGATGGGTGAATAACTTCTGCTTTATCTTGCTTTAGTTTGTTATATAGCTATGTTATACATATCACAATGAAGTTGTAGAAATGAGGATGCTTTCAGTAGACCTGCCACAAAACAATATTGGACATGTAGTTGCTATAAATCAGTAGAAAGTGGCTTTGATCCGTTTGAGGGAAGGAAATTAAGAGCATGTAAAGCATATTTAATAAGAAGGTAGAGATTGTAATGGTTGATGACATGAAGAAGAGGCTCTCGAGGAGGAAGTGAGAAGATAACCTAAGGTAGTTTGTTGGTTGGTGCTTTTTGAGGTAGGAGGGCTGGAAGGTTAGAATAGGATGGTGGGGTAGTATATACTCTCATTCATACTCAAAAAATAATCTTTCTTTCACAAACATAACCCAAAATGAAGCCTAATTTTTTACACCAAGTAGCAACACAATCCAAACTAAACAATTATATTATTTATAATTAACTTATTATATTATACAAACTAGATTTTTTTTTTTTTTTTTTTTTTCAATTTATAACTCATTTTCTTCACTATTTTTTAAATTATATAGACAATATAATTTTTTTTTTAAATATATAAATATTGGTCTCTATTTGTAGACAAAATTATTTTATGTATTTTAGTGTAATTTGTTTATTTTTTAATAAAAATAAAACGAAATAATTACAAAATGAGGTTTATCTAAAAACAGTTATACACAAAAGATAAAAGAAAAGAAAAAGAAAAGGGACGACTAAAGGTATATATTTAGTCGACAATGAGTGGGGGGTTTTGAAGGAATTCTTTCATTTCTTTTAATTCAAATGTGGCAACCAACTAAATATTCGGTCTTAGTCTCCAAGTGTATATACATCTTATTTATTTATTTATTCGGGTATTTAGTTTATTTTCATGTTCTTTTTGGGTGGTAACTTTTTTTAGTTCCCTCTTTTTTCTCACTCAAGTTAGCTTTACAATTTACACTTGTTCCTAGTAAAGGTTATTTTTGAAAATAGTCTCCCTGCTCTTTAGGTAAAATTACGATTGTCTACCTCTCTTAGAATGGAGGGTGTGGTGCCACAAGAACTACACTCACCTTTGCCACATAGGTGCTACCAAAGAGGGAGAAGAGAGAGAGCATGACACTATTTAGGTTAAGAGAGAGAAAAATGCGGTTTCTACCGCTCGGTGATGGGCGGTGTTTTGGGTGATGATGTGGCGGAACCACAAGTGAAACCGCACTCCCTCTGGTTTTACCCTATTTTATGGGATGTTTGTATTGTTGTATCTCAAACTATGATCTTGATTAGCATGTGGTGGTGATCCTTGTTATTTGTATTGTGTTTCTATCAGCTTTATATGAACGTATCTCTCTACATGCTTGCTCATGTTTAATGATTTACCTCTTTATGTTTGTTATGAGACTAAATGGTGGGGGACGCAAGAGGGTGATGTTTACCCTTTCTTATGATTGTACCAAACCAAGATTAGATTCGTTCGCAATGCTTAAATGTTTTTTTTTAATTACTCCATATAATGTAATTTCAAAATTCAAAAACCAACAAAAGATTTTGGAGCATACAATATATACTACCAAAATGGTCTTTGTAAGCTTGCCCTTGGCAGTAAATAAAGTGAGAATCTAAACTATAATTATAGTCTCAAAAAAACGGTGACTTACTTTCCATATCGGCTGTGAAATCACGACTCAAATTCGATAAGACCAAAGTCCCAACAGGGAAAAAAAAACTCATATAGCATCCAAGAACATCTGTGACATGTCATATCTGTTTTTCCTACCATCTTTCTCATGTACACAAGACACCTTCCTATGAACCATCTGCCATATCATGTCAACAGCATCACCACTCTTTGACGGATATTCATACTCAAAATGTTTCCCTATTTCCTTCAATCTTTCCCACATTTGAATCCATTTATCTCTTCGAATCCTTCTAAGAAGCTTCATATGATACCCATTTTTAACAGCATCCGATGCACGAACAAATATCGCAAATTTTGAGTAATCAAGAACATCTTCAAATGGAAGCTCGATCTCATCACTAATTATCACAGGAACACAATGACTAGCAATCGCATCAAACAATCGATTAGATGAAGGAGTATCTCCTGCAATGTTGAGGCAAAATTTAGAAGAAGACATCCCTCTGGACGCCTTGCGGACCCCACCAGACGACACACTTCCAAATGTAAAGTGAATGCCTTTTTCATCTTTAAGTAGATGATACAGTTTTTGACGAATCACTCCACCCTATTCAGATAAACATATGAAAAGAAATCACTAATAAGAAAAAGTGAAAAAGTGAAAAAGAAGAAAAGCGAAAAAGCTTACATCTTTCCTGTAAATCGCTCCTTGGAAATACACCAACACGGGTCGTTCTTTAAAAGAAGGAGAATCACGAGCATCAAGACGCTTGACGACGTGTTTGTAAGGTGCAATAATGTCTTTATCGATATTTGCAATTTGTGAACTGTACCTTCCGAAATCTGCGAGCACAAACATAGAAGAACCCAGATGTCTTCTTGCAAAAAGCATGCTATTCGGATGGTGAGCCATGATTATATGATTCTTCCCTCCTGATCTTCTCCATTCATCTCTACCATTTAAAAACTTCACCAATTTTTGTTGAAGAATCTTGTCCATGGTGGTTTTCTCAGTCCCGTGTATCTTGGAATGCCGATTGTAGCTCAAAGATGAGAAAAATGGCACGAAAATGACGTCTGCTTGGGTGGAGTTTTGTATAAGAACTGCAGTGCAAGGTCTAGATATATTTGGGGAAACCGAAGAAAGAAGATCGAGAGTGAGCCAATATTCTATACTGTGTTGCAAGTTTAATCCTCCTGGGTACGAAGGGATTTGATTCAGGTTGCTTACATTAGGCCAGATTTGGTTTCGATCTTTCCAACCTAGTAATCCGAAGTGAAATTCAGGAGGTAAATCGTACATAAAGACTTTGAGTAGAGCTTGAGTTTGATCACAAATGGCAGGTTTCACGGGGGTGATTTTGGAACATGATTCTTTACTTGATAAAGATGCAAAAATAGGAGAATTGGGTTCGAATGGCACTCTGGTTTCATCAGGTTTGATGTAATCCCGTGTGGTTTTGACGATAATTATGTTGTAAATTGATCTGGGTACTAAAGAAGTATCACTAAATTGATATAGGATCGATGAAGAAAGGATTAAGAATAACATTGAGACACCAAACAGGCATGCAAAAGATCGGGAAACGAACAGACCTTTTTCTGGGATTTGTGTCATTTCTACAAAGGCTGTGAATTTTGGAGAAGATAATAGATCAAAAATGGAAGAACTATTTAAAGATTTTAAATTAGAAGAAAACAAAAATAAGCTTTCAATGTCAAAACCCACTTCGAACGGGTCAATCTCGATATTTTTATGAAGGTAAACAATAAATACCCATTAACAAGAACAGTTTAATTTTCAAGAATCAAAAGAAGAAATTTACCGTGTTGAACAGAGGCAAGAACCTGAAAAACAGAGGAGCCATGGCCATAAGAGCAGCTTTCATCTTTCAGTCAAACAACTTCACGAAAAGATTTACCATGAACAAGATGTGTCCGAAACTAGGGATTAAAGAGAGGAATGGTATTTTGTAATCAAGAATCGGGAAAGAAGATCAGAATTAGAATTGGAATATTATGTGTAGCACCAAAATGATGAGCTACCATCCAAGAATGTGTTTAAGAAGATTCAAAGACAATCCCCGCTGTTTTTTTATTAAGGAAAAAATACATTTGATAATTTGATAATCGATAGGAAGCATGGTCATGGATGTAATTAATTTGTTTTTTTTTTTTTTTTTTTTTTGAAACGTGTCTGTGTGTGTGTCTATATATATATATATATATATATATATATATATATATATATATATATATATATATATATATATATATATATATATATATATATACTAGCAGCGTACCCACGCAAAGCGGCGGGGCATGTAAATTCTTTCGGTGATATGTTTCCTCTACAAAAATGTTATGTTACAAATGAAAGTACATGTCGAAGACAAAATAATCAAACTATGGTGTTATTTGGGAGATGAAGTCATTTTTTCTTCCTAGACGGTGGATTTTATAGTAGAGAAGGGAACAAAGAGGTATATGCGATTGGAGAGATATTTGAATCAACATGTTAAATTTAAGGATATCTAAAATGGTTCAAAATTTGAATGAATCCGGGATTTGAGGAAACCATATCAAATTGTTGAGAAATATAAGGAGATTTGATGATAATTATTTGAATTTAAAATGTGGTTAAAATTTAATATTATTTTATTAATGATTACTTGTACTATCAGCTTCATCATTTGGACGTTTTAAAAAAATATTATTATTATAATCAATCTATTTCTAGAAATAGTTAGATTTCTTTTATAAGATAGTAAATATATATATATATATATATATATATATATATATATATATATATATATATATATATATATATATATATATGGGTAAAGTGAATATACCTAACAATCTTATATAAGCTTAGGTATCTAACCTCATCAAACTCATTTTGCATTAAATTTTTATTGCGATCATCCAAGGTTCTTAAACTTCATCCCTAAACTTGATTTACTTCAAATTTTTTAGGAAATTCATTATTATATTTCTCCTATATCCTTTCATTTGTAGCGGTAGGATATGAAGTCCATCAGGTGGTATTCGATAGAAATACGTGATATAAAAGAAAAATATTGGTGAAAGTCCAAAGATTTTGGAAGTAATCAAGTTATTGGGTTGAAGTTTAAGAACCTTAGGCAATTACAACGTAAATATGATACAAACCGATGTAGTATATGGAGTTAGGTACCTAAGCTTATATAAGGTTGTTAGGTATATTCACTTTACCCTATATATATATATATATATATATATATATATATATATATATATATATATATGTTCAAATGAGAACAATTTTAAATTTAGAAACATTTGAGAACAAATTTAAACTATATAAATGAAAAAAAGCGAATCATTTAAGTTTTAATTAAGATATGGGTTGATTTGCAGTTTAATCTATCTATTCCCTCTTTTTTGCTTATTCACGCACAAAAGAAGCGACGCCTCACTCTAATCATGCTGAACGCCCAAAACCGCATCCTCCTATTAATTGCATAAACACCATCAATCTGTCTCTTCTCTCCAGCAAAAAGGTTTTGAGTTCGACTTTGAGGTTAGTTCCTAAATCCAATCTCTCTCTCTCTCTCTCTCTCTCTCTCTCTCTCTCTCTCTTTTCAACTCCCTCCACCGTACCTCTCAGACCTATTTTTTTAGCTTCATCGGAAAAGTTCTAGTCACCAACGTAACTTATCTGTGTACGATAATGAAACACCAGGGGATTATAAATAATTTTGAATCAACGACTCTTATTACTCATGACTTGCTCGGAGGCAGTAGTGGTTGCTACCTTGATTCCTCAAAATAATTGGACCTCAACTTTCATGTTACTTCTAGCTCTTCAGCTTTAATTGATAATCAAGCATCAATCGTCGTTATGTTTTGTTATTCGTGACATTTTTGATGATATGAATACAGATTCGAATGAATTCTAACCTAATGTTACAGAGATGATTTCAATTGCTTGATAATTCTTAAAAAGTATTGGAAAACCGTAAATGTTTATCTCCAGAGATGCAAATCACCAAACATATCTTCTTCATCAATGAAATGACGTCGGTGGAGATTTGAAGCACAATTCATCAAGATCGAATTTGAGGTTAGTTCCAATTGTCATTTTCAGCGCATTTTAGTGAGTTTTTGGTTGCAGACTCCTTCAAATTCATAGTGTTTCGTAAGAGTTCTAGTTAAGGTTTCTAATTGGTGGTAGTGGTAGTTGGTGGTGGTGATGGTGGGTGGTAGTGGGGATGTGGTGGTAGCAGGAGGTAGTTGGTGGTAGTGGTGTGTAGTAGTGGTTATGGGTGGTACTAGCGGGTGATGGTGATGGGTGGTGGAAGCGGGTGGTGGTGATGTTTGGTAGTGGTGGTAGGTGGTGAAGGCAGGTGGTGGTGGTGGAGTGGTGGTAGCGGGTCGTGGTAGAGGTGGTGGTGGGCAGTGGTGGTGATAGTGAGGGTGGTGGTGATTGTTGGGGGTGATGAGTGGGTGGGTGGGTGGGTGGCGGTGATACATAGGTGGTAGTCGGTGGCCGGTGGTTGTGACAGACGGTGGTGGTGCTGATGGGTGGTGGCGGTGGTTACATGGTGGCGGCGGCGGGTGGTGGAGGTGGGTGGTGGTGACGAGTGATGGGTGGTGGTAGTGGGTTGTAGGTTGTGGTGATAGGTGGTTGATAGTAGTGGTGGGTGGTGATGGGTGGATCAGTGGATGGTGGTGGTGAGTGGTGGGTGTGGTGGTGATGGATGGTGGTTGTGGGTTGTTAGTTATGGTGATGGTTTGTGGGTTGTAGGTGGTGGTGATGGGTGGTAGGTAATGGTTGCGGGTGCTGTTGGTTGGGTGGTGAGTGATGTAGGTTAGTGAGTTTTTTTTAATTGTTTTTAACTTTTTTTGATTTATATGAATATTATTTTATAGTTTTTGATTTAATTACAAAAGTGTCACATTGCAAATTAAAGTATGATTTTTGTTCTATAATGTCTCACAAATAAGATATATTATCGATTGAACGCTCCTCTCTCTCTCTCTCTCTCTATATATATATATATATATATATATATATATATATATATATATATATATATATATATATATATATATATATATATATATATGAAAAAGCATTGTACATGAAAATGTCTTGTTCAATATAATACTTTATAAATATGTTATCGTGTTTCAAATTTTTCGTATGTATTCAAATTTTTATACAAAAAATATTAAACTTTATATTTATAATTAATTAATATAATTTAATATATAACATCATATTACAAATATCAAATAATACATTGAAATGATAATTAATAGATAAAAATAAATTAAAAATATATAAAATAAAAAAGAAAAAGATTAAAATCTACCATTAAAATTTCAACTCTATTTTTGAAAACTAAAAATTGTTACTCATTATCTAGAGAAATAATATTCATACGCGTGATTTAACCGATATTACTTTTTTTAAAACTAAAATTACACTAAAAACTTCATGATTATATTAACTTTTAATCAATCTAGTTTTTTTTTTTTTTTTTTTTTTTTTTTTTTTTTTTAAATTCACTTGTAGTAATTTATGAAACATTTGTTATCTTCCCCATACCGTCATTTTATTTTTTACTTTTTTTTTCCCGATTCTTGAGATCCTAACATATTTCTGCTTCCAATCTTAAGAAATTAGGAAGTGGAAGTTTAAGTTGTTCTTTTCAATAACAAGTATTTGTTCTCTATATTCGACCCTCTATGGTAATGTCATCAATCCCTAAAAAAAGTGCGTTTATTTTTCGATTTCTTGCCTGCCTATTTGCCATCTCAATGTTGCTTATAATCCTTTATTCATTACAACTACTCCAGTTTGGTGACACTTCTTTAATGCCACATCAATATATGAGTTAATTAGTGTAAAAGCCGTTGAAACAGGTGTACCAATTGCACCCAAATTTCCCCATTTGTGGAGTATTTGATCAAATGGGTGTGTTTGAAAACAGTATAGGCGTAGTTTCAAATGCCTATTTGTTTTATTAATGGTATGTTTGGGTTAAATTTTTTTTTATGTGAAAAGTGATTTTTAAGAAAAATGTTTATTAGTTTATGGTTTTTTTAAAAAAACTGGTTATAAAAAGTGTTTGGATATGGAAAGCTGCTTTTTCAAGAGTAAAATAGTTAAAAAGCTAAAAAAATTAGAATTTTTCAGCTTTTTGAAAGCTTTACTTTTTCCTATTCGAAAAGCTATTTTAAAAAACGTTTTTTAAATAGACAAACTCTTTTTTAGCTTATTAGCTTTTTAAAAAGCTAAAAAACTATTAAGCTTTTTGTTTTTAAAAAACTATCACAAACACCCACCAAAAAGTGTAGTTTCATATATATATTTATCAAAACAGTATAATAGCCAAAATATTTATCAAAATAGTATTTTTTTTTTTTTAACTTTTTTATTTTTTTTCAGCTATTGTTTTAGTTTTTAGTGTTTTTTAATATATTTTTTGACCTTTTTTTTTAACTCTTTGTTATTAATTTATATAAAAAATTACAAATATATTATATCTCATTTAATCATCATAACAAATTAATGAAATCTCAATAAATGTCCTAAACTGTAAATAAGATTAACTGATAAACAATAATGTTAGACATTGTAGATTAAAGCCAACATCAAATGTACGATATATTTTTTGGGTACAAATCCAACATCAAACGTACGATATGTTTTTTGTGGCTTCATCTTAGGGATGAGATTTAGAACCGGAAAACCGGACCGGAATCGGAACCATTAGAACCGGAATATGTAAAACCGGTCCGGGTCCCGGGTTTAAAAAATGGATCTATCCGGGTTCCGGGTAATCAGGGTTTCGGGTTCTTCGGGTCCGGGTAAACCGGGTTTAAGAACCGGAACCATGTTAGGAACCGGAACCGGTTTTAAGGGCCGGAACCGGTTTCTATGAAAAGTTTAAAACATGCATAACTCATTCGTTTGAAGTCGGATTGGCATGAGGTTTTTTCCAGATTGTAGTTTATATTTTGTACATGATTTTACACTATAATTTTGTCATTTTTGAGTTTATATTCATTGACTTACAGTCTCTCAAAGTCGGGATATCAAACCTGAAAGTTTTATATTTTTCAGCTTTTTTGTATTTTGTGATAGTTTTAAAACATGCATACCTCATTCATTTCAACTCGGATTGACATGAGGTTTTTTCCAGAGTGTAGTTTACAGTTTATACATGATTTTAGACTATAATTTTGTCATTTTTGGGTTTATATTCATTGACTTATAATCTCTCAAAGTCGGGATATCAAAGTTGGAAATTTTATGTTTTTTAGCTTTCTTTGTATTCTGTGATAGTTTTAAAACACACATATCTAATTCGTTTGAAATTAGAATAGCATGCGGTTTTTTTCAAAGTGTAGTACAAAGTTTCTACATGATTTTAGACTGTAATTTTGTAATTTTTGGTTTCATATTCCATGATTTATAGTCTCCCAAAGTTGGGATATCAAAGTTGCGATTTTTTTCAGCTTTATTTTTGTATTCTGTGAAATTCTAAAACATACATATCTAATTCATTTGAAGTCGAATTATCATGAGATTTTTTGCAACATGTAGTTTAGAGTTTTTACATGATTTTAGACTATAATTCTGTCATTTTTGGTTTAATATTCAATGACTTACAGTCCCCCGAAGTTGGAATATCAAAGTTGAAAATTTTCAAAGTTCAACCACTAAGTAATTACCAAAAAATTCCGGTTTTCCGGTTTTAGACCACTTTACCCGGTTCCATCCGACCCATTTTGATATTTCTGGGTTTTCCGATTGTAGACCCACTTTACCCGGTAGCTTACTCGGAACCGAACCAGAATCGGTTCCTATATACTGGTCCAGTTTTTGGTCCTACAAAATCTTGTTAACCGGTTCCCGGGTTTTCTGAGTCTATGTCCACCGGTCCGGGTTTGGACCCATTCTTATCCCTACTTCATCTTGTAACGAATCACTTCCTAAACCCAACCCCATCAAACCGGCCATTTGTGATCAAACTCAAGCTCTAATTAAAGTCTTTATGTACGATTTACCTCCAGAGTTTCAATTCGGATTAATAGGTTGGAGAAGAGATCAAATCCAATTCGGCCTAACGTAAGTAAGTAGAGTTAAATCCCTTCATACCCAAGTGCGGTAAATATACAACGTAGCATGGAGTATTGGCTCACACTTGATCTTCTCTCTTCGGTTTCCCCCAAATGTGTCTAGACCTTGTACTGCAATTCCTGTAAAAAAATCGACCGAAGTAGATGTCATTTTCGTGCCATTTTTTAGGTCTTGGAGTTAGAATCGTCAGCCCAAGATTCGTAGGGCTAAAAGAAACAACATGGACTATATACTGTAAAAGAGATTGGTGGAATTTTTGAAGGGTAAGAGGGAATGGAGTGGATTGGGAGGGAAAGATCATTTGATCATGACTCATCATCCGAATAGCTTGCTCTTTGCAAGAACACAATTGCATTATGCTATGTTGTTTCTTGCTGATTTTGGAAGGTATCTCGCTCAGATTGTGAAGATTCATAAATATATTTTTGCACCTTAAAAACATGTGGTTAAACAGATTAATGGTAGTGGTTTGCCATCTTTTGAAGAACGACATGTACTGGTGTTTTTCCAAGGAGGAATTCATAGGAAAAATGTGAGCTTTTTGTATGTCATTGTCATTTTCTTTTAAACAACGTGTGTTATGCACGACATGACATAATATGTTGTACGATGTTTAGTGTGTGTTGGACTGTGTAACAAAAAGGAAAAACTACAATAAAGTCCCTATGTATTGCCCGTATAATCGATTTAGTACCTATAGTTTTTTTTTTCAATTAAGTCCTAATTACCGGTATACGTAATCAAAATAGGATAATTATCGGGTTAGCCGGTACCTAGCTGATGTGGCACCTTACGTGGAAGTTATCATGTTAAATGACATCCTACGTGCCATTTAAGAGGGATAAATCTATAAATCAGGCTCTTCTTCTTCATTCGACAGTCAAAGGAGCGGGCGATTAGGGCAAACTGGAAATAGGAAATCAATGTCGAATTCTTTAAGCAACAACATTAGAATGTGCTATTAGGGAGATAGGGTTGGAATGTGGATATCATGGACTCTAAAGAATCCAGGTCGGAGGTTTTTTGGTTACCTAAATTACATGGTATAGAATCTTTAATCTCACTTAGATTCTTTCTATTCCACTAAAATTCTTCTATGTTAAAAACATGTATCTTTCTATGTTATGTAGGATGAAGAGAAGGACTGTGGGCATTTTCGTTGGATTGACCCACGGCTATTGAATAAGTGGTATAACGAAATAATGTATGAATTAGGAGTTGTTGCTAATGGGGGTGTAGTTCCTTTCAATAACTCTGTTAATGAAGTTGAAATACCTGTTGATGGCCCTATTTCCCCTGTGAATGCCCTTGAACCTAATAATCAAATTGAAATGCTTGAGAATACACATGTGCCTGCTAATGAACTTGGATTTTGGAAGTGGATGATGGTTTGTTTCGTTTGTTTCATTGTAGGGATGATGTATGGTTAGTTTAGTGTAAGTTGTAGGGTATTATGGTATGGTAGGGATGATGTAATCTTTTGGTTTGTTATCATGATGTAATAGATATATGTTCTTATGGATCATGTAATGTTTTGGTTAATGAAATGGGAATATGTTATTATGATTTGCATACATGGTGTACACTTGCAAAGTATAACCATGAAATATGCACACTTGTCAACTATAATAATTAAACAACAAACTTCAATATGTCATCACCAACCATGTTAAGGGTATTCATAATGTTTCAATGTGTTTACAAAAGATGTACAAAATATGGCTATTAGTAATTTAAATGCATCCACAAAAGATGTACAAAAATGGCCATCTAATCACCATTGCCCAACTATTACCCTTAATACCCTTACTACCCTGAACACCCTAACACCCTAATCTAACTCCAATGTTGAATTTGTAGAAGTCCCAACACATCCCATCTTATTCAACTTGGTTTTGACAATCCTCTCAGAGGGCCTTCTTCTTTTCATAATCCTAAGGTGTACCGGTAATTCTTGGGTGTCATTAATGCCTTCTTCTTCTTCTTTTTCACTTTTTGGTTGTGTCTCATGGATAATTTCTTCAGCCCCATCTTGTGTCTCAGTCTGAGGTGGATCCTCCTCTTCCTGTTAAACATCAAGCATTTAATAACATAAATGAATGTTAACTTTAAGGTAAGATTAACCTATTAAATATGAAAACATAGAGGATTTAACATATACATAGGAATAACTTGTTCAATATTGTCATTGTAATCATTGAGTTGTTTCATTTGCGAATCTATCAAACTAAGGGTATTTTGAATTTATTCTATTGAATACTTTGATACTTTCAAATCTTGAATTGCCTTCCATCAATGGACTAAATATTTTTTAGGAATAATGTCATCCTCATTTTCAACCTCAACCACTCCACCACTTTCAACTTGAGCCATTCCACCATCCTGAACTCCACCAGATGTCTTACCACTATTCGTACCACCTCTCTTACTACCTTTACCACCTTTGTTACCCACCGCACCACCTTTGTTACCCACTGCACCACCTCTCTTACCCCTTGTACCACCTTTACTACCCATTGCACCACCTCTACTACCTCTAACACCACCTCTAGTCCAATGAATGATATTAGGATCCAATCTTGGTCTACCTATTTTTTTCTTGGGTTTGGGTTCTAGTGTGACCTTGGGATTCTTACATGATACCTTGTTGTAACCCCTTTGAAGACAATTTTTGCATTGGACTGTCCTTCATATTCCATTAACCTTCATCTTATTTTGGGAGTATTTTTCTTGAGATTCAGTCACATGCCTCTTTCTTTTTAGAGTTGGTCTCCCTGGCATTCTTGTAGATAAAGGGGGTATAGGCTTTGTATATGTAGTTCTAGACCATAGATTTCTACCATTCAAGGTAGTATATTGTTTGCATATATGGCCTTAAATCTATCCACATTAAACCACTCACTTACGAATTGAACATGATCTTGTCCAGTGTATATGTAACGCCCGTGTTTTAGGGCTAGACATTATTGTTGATGTAATAGTCTAGGTTAACCGTTGTAATTCTTTTTGAAGTATTAATGATGAAATATTTGAGTATTATGTGAATTATGTGTTTATTTTCTTAATTATTGTAATTTAATGAATTAAGAATAAAATAAGCATCAAAATTAAAGTGTGAATTATTTAATATTATCTTTGTCGTGTCGTGTCATGTTGTTGTTTTTTAATTGTTTCGTTTTCGTGTTAGTGAAAAAAAATACGACATCGTGTCGTGTCGTGTTCGTGTTACAAAAAACATTGTCGTGTCGTGTCGTGTCAGACAAAAACACGACACGATGGCCCGATTTGACAGGCCTAGATAAGCCCGATATATTTGCATGAAGATGTAGTGATTGAAACAAGGATTCCGGAGATATAAAGAATGCCGAAATCCGAGTTATAACGAAGAAGTTATGACCCGTCGAAGTTTCGCGACAAAACCGACGATGCTGAATGACGTAAAAAGTGAATTTTATGTTAGAGCGATATTTAGCCTTAGTGATCTAAACGAAAGTCGTAGAGTTCGTTAAACCAAGAGCATGCATAAAAAGAACGCCCAAATCTGACTTCGTATGAGGAAGTTATGATTTCCAAAGTTTCAACTTAGCAGTTTGCAGCGTGAATACTCGATTTGAGATCGAACGGTTTTTAGCCGAAGCAATCTAAACGAGAATCGAAGATCTCGTTAATATTAGTGCAACGGTACGAAAACGGACATCGGATGAAGAAGTTATGAATTTATAACGAAGTTTTCCTATCCTGACCTACTACAAATAAAGAATAAAAATAAAATAAAAATTAGCCGATGGAGTCTAAATGAAAGTTGTAGAGCGTAGTCTCACCTACGTGTGGGTATAAAAAACATCAAAAACGGAGTTCGTGTGAGGAAAATATGAATTTTTGAAGTTTATTAAACAATTAAAATAGTAAATTTAAATATAAATTCGGATATTATCCAAAGGGATGGAGTCACTGGGCTTATCCGAGTTACGCCCAGCGTACCTGGATTTACGCCCAGCGTAAATCGAGGATCTAGCCCCCTATAAAAGGAAGTCGAGGTTGCCGAGTTTCAGTTGCTATTTTCTTTCATTCTCTCGCGTTTTTACCTCGTTTTGCGTGCAACTTATACCGCGAAGCCCCGGTATCATTCCCGAGCCTCGAAGCAAGTCCCGAAGCTCCGAAGATCCTGAGAAGTGCAATTCCCGAGCCACATCTCAGCCCGCGAGAAGCCCGGTTTTTGTGAAGATCTTCCAGATCTACCGAAGAATACTACTTCTACAAGTCGTAGTGCTGTCCGATCATCTTCTGATCAAGTGAGTGTGTAGTCACTTTCTTCTAACGCATAATTATGAAGTATTTTATACGAAATACGTGTTATGTATATATTTTGTTGTTATATGTGTGAATGTATATTCACTTTCTTCTATCTCATAGATATGATTTATTCTCTATGAAATACGTGTTATGTGTATGTATCTCATCTGTTGTTTGGATTATGTATTGAACGAGAATGCTATACAGGTTTTAAACTATGTATAAAAATATATATATTTTTATCTACTAATATGTTGGGTAGAACATGGGTAGATAGTTGATGTGTGATAAACAAATGAGAGGCATCGATGTTGTTTTTGATTCAATCATCTAGCGGAGTTTAGATGATGACCACTGACTTTTTTAGATAGTCCTGTGGAATGCTAGCAAACTCACCACCTGTAGGTGTTAATGAACTTGGGTGTTCATTCGCTGTACTCCATCCCCCTCATGGTTGCCTTATTTGACATATATTGCTGGGAAACCCCCAAATGCATGTGTTGTCGCCCCGATGAAATATTCTAAGACTAGGTCCCTTGTGTTAGTTGTTTTAGGGACATAAAGTGAGAATAATGGGAATGGATAATTGGGTCATGTTGGTTGATGAAAATAAATTTAATTACTTATTGTGGGTTGAAAACTCTATATGCTCACCAGGCTCTCAAGCCTGACCCACTCAGTTTCTTTGTATTACAGGTAGTGGCGCCAGAGTATAAGTTGGATGATTTGTCAGGATATTTTAGATTATAGACCTGTTGTTGTAAATAACTGTTGTTAGATCTGTATTGAAATGTTTATGTTTTTGGTCTGTTTATCGGAACATGACATCTCAAGTATTGTAATATAATTAAAAAATACATTTCTTTAAGAAATGCTTTGGCAAATCTTATTTTTATCATATTTTGTTTTGGGAACAAATTCCATAACTGTTTTAATCAAAGGATTACTTTGAAATTATTTTAAAAGCATAAATTAAACCGGTGTTTTCTGGCCATGATTTTGGGGATGTCACAGTATAGTTGTAACATTCATAAATTTTTTTAAAATTTTAACTGTTTAATTAAACCCAAAACCATCATTGTTTACAAATTGTTTTCAACATATGTTTCAATATCAGATAAATCCCAAGATCATAAAACAAAAACATGAGGATGTGCACGATCACGCCTTTGCCTTCTCGCAATCCTTTGAGGTACCTGAAACATAATCCAAAACTGTAAACCCAAAGCTTAGTTAGTTCCCCCAAAATACTGATACATAACAAATAGCACAAATATAATAACAACATGTAATGGGTCCACATCTTAACAGACTGTATTACGCCTGAGCCCACAACATAAGTCTGGCTTGCTCTTGGTCCTCATCATAACAGACTGTATCAAACAAACAACACCCAGTTAACAATTGAGTTTCAAACCAAATCCATTAATCCATAAACGGTCCAACTAATCAGACCCACTAATATCCCAAGCCCATTAGGCCCACTAAGGCCAAACAAGGCTAGCCCAATAAATAAATATAATTTTAATGAAAGTACTCAGCCCAAGCAATTAAGCCTAAAACTTAACCAAAACCCAAAATCAAACCCCCAAAGTCCAATGATCCAAAAATACAAATCTCATATGATCAAACATACGCACGTCGTACGTCATCGATCCAAAAATGGGTATCATAGCCGAAACGTGCGGCGTTCCACAGTGGTATGCACGACGTTCCTGATGGCCACCCAAAAGTCGTTGTAATGACTTAATACTTTAAATCAAACGTCTAACACCTCAAAACAGCTCAATATAAGCGACTTAATCCATAAAGTCGAAGACTTTAAGCCTTTGCATGGCTTAATGAAGCCCAATCACCAAAGATGAACTTCAAAGGTCAAAGGCACTCTGAAAATGTTTTAAAACTTAATACCTTAAGACCTCAATCCAAACTTCTAGATCTGATTTCAAGGGACTACTTAAGTCATAAAGTTTCCAACTTTATGACTTAGTATAACTCAATGGGACCCAAATCAAAACCCTAAGTCCCAAACTTCATCAAATGACTACCAAATCATGCATGGAAGGTTTATACCCATCAAGATCCAAACTTTATGACTCTATAACCTCAATAAGGACCAAATATGAAGCTCAAAGGTTTTGGAGTAACTTCTACTCACAAGAACCACCTCAAAGAGACCAAAACCATAACAAAATACCACTTAGCTAGATCTACATGAAAGAGTCATCAAGGTTGAGACTTTATACGTCTAGAAGATAGATCTAGGTGTAGAAAGCTTAGATCTAAAAGCTCCAAGTCAAGCAATGACTTTTCAAGAAGTTCCTTCTTCATCCTCAAGCACCAAAAACACACAAAATTACCATGAAACTCAAGAAATACTCAAATGGAGTATAGGGTTTCATTCTTAGGGTTAGAGAGGATGGAGGCTGAAGGAAATGAAGGTTGGAGGTGAGTTAAGGTGTTTAAATAGGGTCAAAGACCCTAAATTAGGGTTTTAATCTGGCTTGACGAACACATCGCGTTCCCTTGAGGAACGCAGGGAGTTCTCAAATGCACCCACGTCCAATTTCCCGTGTACACCATGTGTACCTCCCTTGTACGCAATGCGTACCCGGTTTGGTCCAAACCCTTCTAACTTCAAATGATCATAACTTTTACATCCATTATCTATTTTCGATGTTCTTTATATCCACAGAAAGGTAAGGAGAAACCCTACACTTCTATAAACTTTATTTTGTCTACAAATCAACCGAAATTAAATCCAAAATTCATAAAAGGCCCGAACCAATGCCTTTACCAATACCCTTGGGATCCAAAACACAAACCGAATACCCGGATCATTCAAAATACATCATCCACCTCCAAATGAGCCAAAACTCAATTCTTCAAGGTATCTAAGTTTGAAAATTCCAAACAAGGCGTTACAATAGTATTGCAGAATGTGCATGTACACATGGAATTCTTGAGATATCGTAAAGCCTACAAATGGACACTTTCCTTTGCAAGTCAATCACGTACCCTTCAAATCCATTCCTAGCTTCAAAAATAGATGGTCCACTTGGATTCACATTCCAATTCTTACAATGACATTAGTAAATGAAACCAGAACAATAAAATTAGAAGAATGATGATAAGGAACAATCATAAATATGCTAAGACAAACCTCAAATACGTTCCAAACTTGTTCATTTTCTCGATTGCAGCTAGAAAAACCATTGATTCCCACTTTTCTGCCTTTTATAACATTTGGTAGAACCTATCCATCATGTACAACCTAATTTCTTCTAACAACGCTAGAATGAGTTTCTTTCTAGCATCCAATATGATGACACTGAAGCACTATGCAATTCCATTTTCAACTGCTTCACATGCTACCTTAGTCCTAAAATATGCCCTGCACCATGTG